GGGAAAGAGGTATTCTCTAAATCAGTATCCCTCTCCAAACAAACTTAAATTTTAACTACTTGATAAACTAATAAAATTCACACTAAACATTTGTTAGCTCATAAAAGTTTCTTGCGCTGAAGAAATCCTGCAAATTCTTTAACTCGTGTCCCCGAAGCTTTCCACTATACCACCCGGCCTCAGCTTCCCCTTCTGCGAAATGCATGGGCTTGACTGAGAGATGGTAAAATAAGTTTCACAATAAGTGCCAACAGGTTTTTAATTGGTATTGGCTCTAGAGAGCACCTCTGAAAAGGATTCAGTGACCCTGTCTCTCATACAGGAAGGAAAGCCATGACTGATTAGCAACTTCTATTACACGGGGAGTCACAGCACAAGGGCCAAATATTTCCTCCCTCTGACATCTGAGGGCACCTGCAGTCCCCTCCAGCTTGATGTTCTATGGTTTTTGAGGATTCTTCTTTGATTGCTATAGAGATTGCTATATGCTATGCATGTGGTACTTTTTAATACCTCTACAGACTGTACTCCTCTGGGCTTCAACTCTTTGTTCTGACAGTTACATGATTTGTTCTGTGTACACTGTATTAGCAAATTAAGGCTAGAAACCTGGTGGAGGGCCTTAGTATTTTCAGAGTATATCATTGAGAATTAATAAAAGCAAAGTAACGTATAAAATACGAGGACATTTTTCTACAAAACATTTTTCTACATTTTCTTATTATCACACCTAAGATAATGCTCGAGTTCATCTAATACAATGTTCATATATTCACATTTTCCCTATTAACAAAAATAAATGTCTTTTACAGCTGATTTGTTTATTCTACAATATAATAAAGGATCACAGCTCACATTTGATTGTTATGTCTCATAAGTCTCTTTGAATCCAGAATGGTCTCCCCTAATGCCCTGTTTTCCTCTAAGACACTGACTTACTGATAAGCCAGGAGCAATTTTCTTGTTGAATATCTCACCTCTGGCTATGCCTAATTGATTCCACACTGTGTGGTCTAACCAGTTCCTCTATTCCTTGTATTTCCCGCAAACTGGAAGAGAAATCTAAAGGCTTGACTGATTTAGGTTAAAACTGAGGGACAAGAATTATTCACAAGTATGTATGTTTTTTATATTGTCTGGTGACTCCCTATTAGTGATGCTAAGATTCATCACTGCTTTAAGGTAAAGACAAACAGATCACTTAGCCTGTGATATTCTGAAAGCATCCTCACAATACTTTCTAGGACTTCAGATATTGACAGCATTGATTTTAAGACAGTCATATTTTCTTTCTTTGTGGTCCATATATAAATGGTACATCTCCCAATAAGCGGCATCTTAGATTCGATGAAATACCATGTATCAATTCCAATTCAAAACCTGCCTTTTCCTTGATAGAGGAAGCACCACTGTTACCAATAATCATTACTGTCATTTATTTTGGTTCACTATTGGAACAAAGAAAAGGGGAAGGGGAGGAATTGAGGAAGAAGAAGTAGGAGCAATATTTCTCCTTGCATAACCAGGCAGGAACTAAAAGGAATAAAAGGATGACACATGTAGAGAAATTTTCTAAGATCAAAGTAACAGAGCTGGGAGAAGAAAGTTATCCCTGGTTAGGAAAATGAAAGATAAAGAGGTTGAATCTGTCAGTTTTACAGACCAGCCCCTTGAGAGCACAGCTGGCCCACTTGTACCGATTAGTGGGTTATCTGTAATCTTGGGGTGGCTGGGAAAATATAACAGCAAATAATTTGCCAATCGGGCATATGCAGGGCATGTTTACAGGGTAGGTATTCATAACTCAAAATGGTGCTTATTAGAGTAGCAATCCCTATTTCAGGTCTTTGATTTGTCTTATCAAACCTCACAATAAATAGTTCCGCTTAAGGTAACTACAAAAGACTAAAAATCAACTCTCCACCACTCTTCAGTAATTGCTCCAATAACACAAACAGTAGTTGTATGGAGCACAGGAGACTTTCTACTCCCAAATCAGCTTGTGCTTCCAAAGTACAAATTTTCTTATTAACGTAATACACTTGGAATAAATATCTCCCTAACTGAAGCAAGGACTTGCACCTACAGGCATCACTCTCAGAAAACGGCAACTTAAATTCAATGACATAAAAGCACTTTTGAACACCCTGCTTAACAAGATATTCAGACATGACCTAGATCACAGACTTGACACACCTGGTTAAAAGCAATCTAGCTGTAGGCAAAGACTGTTAAACCTTAGTGAAATCAAAACTGAACGCAATTTAGCTGACCAATCAAATTATTAAAG